GTTTGCGTTCGTCTGAAGGTCCGCCACGGGACACAGCTCTGATACATGTCTGGCCACGGTCCTAGTCACAAAGTTAATGGGATGATTAGCGTTTCGTCCTTTTGATTTATGTTGGATTTTCCCCTCCTGGTAGTTTCTTCCAGTTCCGAGCAAGAAGAGTGATCCGTGATCTAAGTGGCAAATGGCTGGGGGAAGAACATGATCGAGTCTACACAAACGGTTATGCCATTCTCTCACTCCAGGCGTCCGACCGTGTTGAGCGGTCGGAATTCGCTGGGGTACTGACGCCCTGGTCCCACCACCAGAAGCCGGCAACGCTGCGCAAGCATCGATTGTTGAAAAAATAGAATGAATTTCTTTCTATCAAAATGGACATAGTTTGAGAGCACGAAGCAGCACTAGCCTCACTGTAGGTATAGATCCAATCTTTCGTATAAAGCGTGATATCGTCGGCTCGGTGCCAGAGGTTGTTCAGATGCACAAACGCATCGTTCTACATACCAGAAGCGAGGATGCAGCATCATAAAACAGGGTAAATTGTAGATCACTCTCAGTGGTTAGGTACAGAAAGATTGCGAGCATGCAATCTGGTCGGTCGAAAACCATGGCTTTGTAGCGTCGGGAGGTGGGAGCAAAACGAACAGTAATGAATGGACTCAATTTGTCCGGTAAGTTCTGTGGTGATTGGCAGCTTTGCTGTCCTCCGGTTCGATACCAGACCTAACCTAGAGGGGCCTAAGGTGTTCGCCATTCAAAGCCAAGGGACTTAGGCCGCCAGTTATCATCACCGAATAGCAGGTTTTCTTGACTATGGTGTCCACCCCGTCTGCTGTTCATCACAAAGTGGTGTGTAATAGAAGTATTTCTGTGCACGAACATCACCGGTGAAGAGTTGCACAATGTCGGCGTATTCTGGGTTTGGAACAGTGAACTCCCACAACCCAAATGAAAGAGGAATTGAAAAACAGCTTATTTGTTTGCACTAAAAAATTCATCGACGGTGGCTACATGATTTATCTTTTTTGGACTTAGACTACCGTGGTGACAACTATTCTAGCCTGGAAAATTTAACAGGTACATAATGGGTCCGATCCATCGCTTCCCGGTGGTCTGAACTGCCACCAGGTAGGGCATCAAAAGTGAGTGTTCGGCGATCTTTGAAATTACAGGAAGAAACCGCAATGCAATGTCACAAGCTCTTCAAACTTATGGCTAAAAAACGATCGCAATACAGTTTGCGTACCACAAGATTGGTTTCCACGGTCCACGGGTCCTTGGTTCGCATACTTCGCACATGTACTCGGGCCAACTGATCGGATCGATCGGAGCTGGGCAGATCGATTCCATCAACGTGAGCTTCGTATTCAATGGAGACCGGACACAGAGCACGCTGGGCCACGATTCGAAGCGCCTCAACCACTAAATTATTCTCCACAATGTGCGCTAATGGATCTCGTTCAAACACAAGAAATGCGTCTGACTTATCTTCCCAAACCTATGGTTATAAAGAAGAGACGAAGAAACATATGTTTACAGGTAGCTGTATGTAAACATAAAAGGGATAGTTAAGTGAAAAAAGTAAGCTGAACAGATGGACGGAAATCCAACTAGTCAACCAATCAACCATCCAGTCAAAAAGCTAGCCAGCCAGTCAGTCAGCCAGACAGACATTTTCACGCTCTGATCCTAACAGTCATACAAGAGCCGGGTGCAATTGAAGTTGATTTCGGGCAGCACGCACAAGGTTCTGATGTTCACCAAGACAACCTAACTTTAGCGATAAACCGCTTCGTTGACACCCAGTTAACGACCATGTTGATCCTATCGGAGCTTTTTGCGGCTTACTATTTTGAGTCACAGGTTTCCAATTCGCCTCACCGAGCAGATGTTCGTCACCAAGTTGGGCAGGGTTGCATAAAAACCTCGTGTTGATAATGCCAGTGTGTTTCGAGGTGCTGTTCTATTTTCGTATCTGTTTGTCGCTTTTATTAGTGATCTTCCAGTCCCGACCACTGCGTACATCCAAAAAGATGCTAACGATGTCGTTTCGTGTCAATCAAACTCCCCTTCTTCGGAGTTTGATTCGTTCACTGAAAATTAATCGCAAATTCAACGGTTTTCTGACAATTGTAGTCCAAGTTTTAACACATCAAAGTATCTGGAGTGCATGTTCAATCTTTTTTGTTCTACATTTCCAAAGGACCATACTACCCTTAACTGTAATTCACTATCTAGAGTGACCATTGTTAAGTACCTGAGTGCCGCCATAGACACCAACCTTCAGTGGTACACACATTTACGATTGTATGTGGAAACTGACACACCTCTCTCTTGAGCTTCAGAAACTCAGACAATTCCGAATCTCATGATTGATTTTATCCTGTTTCGTCCACCCAGCCCAATTTTACCAATTTTACCCTATCGCCCCCTGGAGTGTTTCAACCCTGGCAAAACCATTTGTCGTGGTTTGGCGATAATCAGCCGTGTGTCCTTAATTTCCGTGGATTCAGTATTCACGTAACTTATCACTGATCACATCAACTCTTGTATTACCGTCGCCAAAAAGATTCCAGCTGAGCCTCTTTATCCACCGCACCTTGATTTATCTTCCCCCACATACACATGCTTCTCCTTTCGGCACCTCCCCTCTCGTGCTAGCATTCATTTATAGGAATCCTCCTGTACCCTACCAGTCCCGAATCTTAACGAACAAGGAACAGATTGTTATTGAAGTATGTCATAAATTGTGTACAAAAACCGAGGTTTAGCGACAATTTTCAAGGTGCGTGGTTTCTGAATTCGTATACTTCATTCGATGTGACGACTAACATACATTTTTAACTGAAATGTAGGCTCACACAAGTAATACAAATACCATGGTATTCAAACCTTACAACCTTACCTAGATGGGCCGAAGGTGGTTCGCCACTCCAAGTCCCGGCACTTATGTTGCCGGCTTCCATCCGTCTGCTGTTCATCACACAAATCGGTACAATAAGAAATCAGACTATCCTTTATCAAAAATAAAGAGGCCTATTCTTAAAATCACCACTCACTAACAAAGAGTCCGGTGTTGGAAATACAAGCCCCAAGGTACCGATACCGCAAGATAGTCAATTTGCTAGTGAGCACACTCAACGATTTAAAACATGATGTTAAGCCGTTTAAGTGATAAGCACTAAACAATTTCAAGTAAGGACCAAGTTAAACTCACTTTCATTGCTTTGACAGGTTGGATACGCTTGGACTGTAAAAAATCCCATGCATTAAGGTCTAGACACAGGATTCGGTAATCCCCCGTAGAAGTCAATTACCTTGAAGCATGGACTGGGAAGCACAGCTAAGAGCAACTGTGCGCGCTTCATACACATCACTTAATTCATAGGACTTCTTAGGGGCGTTTTCTAGCAGCAATATCCGCTTGCCGTGAAGTATGCTAGACGAAGCTAAAATTGAGAACAAATGGATAGAAATGGAGCATGACAGGTCACAGGGTGAGTACCCGCTAGAGCGGCTAGCCCAAATCCAACCATTCCACCACCAACAATAACCAAGTCGTAGTGATTGGCCCCATTCCGTACCGCTGTACAGAGACCACGAGAGAGGGATTTGGACAATGCACGAGTCCAATGGAGCATCACTGTAATAATAGATGAAAAAGATGAATGAAAAATTCTGCGTACAATGGATGAATAAAGTGCACTCTCGATTTGACTTTATTTACAATGTTATCACTAAAGGAAGACAAACTAGGAAGAACGTTTTCCTTAGTTTATCGGTGATAATTTTAGCGTGTCACTCTGTTCATGCCGAACGTAACGTGAACACAACCTGTATGTATGTAGGAGAGGGAGGGGTAACAAGAACGCGGATTGTGTACAACCAAGATGACGTGCTAACTTTGAGGGGATGCCAATCGACCAGGTATGCAGTTCAATTTCCATTTTCGAAACGTGTCCAGCAGTGTTTTCTAACAGGATCACTCTAGGGAGCGCACTGCATTGTGAAAGGTTCCCAGAAGAATAAAATCTTTCTTGGGGAGACCAGCAAAGGTAAATGATAAACACTATAATCAGTAGGGGCAGATGCAAGCATTCACATACTTCATCACCATTGTAAAGTGGGATGAAGTGAAGCGAACTACACTGATCCCTGCCAAACTCATGATACATATAAGGTAAATGAGAATGTATAAGGAGGATAGTGACTGAGTCTGATTTAGGGACAGAAAAAGAAAGTGAACCTCTATGGCAAACACAGAGTACACAGTTCAACTGGGCACACACACGTTTTCAAGCATTCTGGGCAGATAAGAAGCAGTCAACTTCAGCTAATTCCCGACCGTCTAGTTTCAGTACGGGACGTGGCAGTCTTGCAGCATCACTTGGCTCTTTGAAGGTGCAAATCGCATGCCAAACGGAACAAAAGAACTTGTTGGTCTGTCAAGTGCGCTTTGTGCATCCTCCATACATTTGAACAGGCAAACGATGTCGTCAGCGGACTCTAGGTCGCTGAGAGATCTTTTCTTGAAAATGGGAACGATCAGTGATTTGTTCCAAGATAAAGGAATACATTCTAGCTGTGCAGTAACTTAGTTATAGACCTTACGAGGTTATAACCCCACAACTTAAAGAGTGAGGAGCCTGTCCGGTCCCGTTGTCTTTCCTCGCTTCAGAGCCTGGATGCACGACCGAGCTTATGCTTCTGAGGGAAGATCGCACGTCACACCCCACGGAGTTTCCGTTGCAGATGAAGTAGACTGGTTAGTGACAGGCTAGCTGAACTGTTCGCTGAAGTATTCCTTCAAGCGACTAAGTCGCTTATCCCTATTGTGAATAGTTTGTCCCATTTTATCACACACAATGTCACTAACTGGAGTTCGCTGACCTCCCGTCGGTTAGTTGGAGATACTGCGGGATATGGCAACTAACCAACAGCAGAGGAGTTCTTGTTGCCATTTCTTATCAGATCGGAATGTTCAAAAAGATGTATGCACAGTTAGGTTGCGCGCTCTGTGTTGGCCACAGAGGTTCACTTTCTTTACCTGCCTCTAATTAGGCCCACGACCCTATCCATCTTGTACATTTTCAGTTACTTTGTGTAAATTATGAGCTTGGCAGCGATCAGAGACGTTCACTTATCAGTATCTTGCTGTACGATGATGATGGTGGTCTTGGGTCGGTATAATATCCTACATAATATAATAATAATATAATACATATTATAATATCCTACACACTAGAAACTTTGACGAATCGCACGACACGAGCGAGCTGGTGGCGTACAGTGAATGCTCAATGTATGTTCAGACCAGTCATTTAAAGCAAAGACAAATCGAGGGGATTTTTTGCTGTGAATTTCGAATTCATCATAGAGACTCATACCAAAACTGTTCTAACAATTATAATTTCAAATCGTGCAACTAACTGCAGGGAAGATATGTGACCAATGCCATGTCAAAGGACTGAACGATATTCTGACTGCTCTAAGAATTGCGCCTGCAAAGATAGAGAAATATAGGTAGATAGATGTTATGCATCACACTCTTTATCTATTGCATATAGCTGTTTTCATAACATTTCTCTTTTATACGTTTCAGCCTATATGCCAGAGTTGTCAGCCGAATAAAATCTTACATCTCCGGGCTCTCAGTCTTTTCTCTCTCTCTCTCTCGATTGAATACCGACTATTGATATCTCCTCTTATTTTTAAAATATAACAATTTATTCATCTAAACAATGGATCGGCCTTATCGACCAGAACGCTTCGAGGCGGATCCAAGTTGTCCCTCAGCAGTGAAAGTCTGGAATCATTGGCTTCGCACATTCACCTTGTTTGTCACTAGAGCGGCGAACTCAGAAGACGAAAAGCTGGAGCACCTCATTGGATGCGTTTCTCCCACCATTCACGAGTATATTGCCGAGAGTGAAACGTTCCAATCCGCTATGATGATCCTAGGGAAGAGTGAGGTTCTTGTTCAACACACTCTCTACCAGTAAACAGGAGGCAGGTTAGAGTCTTGATCAGTTTATGCAGAAGCTGAAATAACTTGCAAAAGACTGTAAATTCGTAGCCGTCACGGCCGAACACAACCAAAACAACGCCATATGAGATGCTTTTATCAGTGGAATGCAGTTCAGTAGCATCCGCCAGCGCCTCTTGGAAAACCGGACAATTGAACTAGAAACAGCGTACGATCAGGCTAGAACCTTGGAGGTGGCGTATCAACAGTCCAGCTTCTTTCACCCAGTCGACTCCGCTTGGACATCTGCAGTTGTTGACCCCAAGTAACAAAACGAGTCTACATCGAACTTGGTGCCCCGCCAACCCAATTCACTGGAAGAAAGTATAGCCGCTATGAGCGAAATTCGCTGTTTTTTCTGCGGATATTCCAAACATTTTTTACTTTACTTTACGGCGGCTGGCTCCTAGGAGAGGATACGCCAGCTTCATTAATATCTCGAATTGCCGCTGCCGACACTCGGCGACCTGCGGCACGATCGGCGCATATTGTGATCCAGCTTGACTTCCATTGGCGAACGCCGTAGACGGAGCGGAGACCAAGGTTTTCACTATCCTTTCGTACCGTGTCAAGCCAGGTTTTTAACCACTGACAGCGCCAGTTCGGGCAGGGAGGCGGTGCCAAGACAGCTTTTGTCACGTCGTTTCGAACTTACGAAGAATGTGACCAAACCGTTGTAGTCGTCGCCGTTGTATTAAAGTCCTCAGCCTTACAAGATTAAAACACCGATTTCTGATCGCTTCATTTGAGAGTTGATCTCTCCATCGTACTCCCAGGATGATTATTAAGCACCAGTGATCGAAGACTTCTAATCTGTGACAGTCTTCGACTCTGAG